AGAGGTAGTTGGTAGGCGGGGGGGGAGGGGGGGGGGGCGCACACTGCTGCTACTGCTACTACTACTACTACTACTACTACTCCTATGACTATGGTTATCAATAACATCTTCTTTCCTATTGTCTCTACAAAATCGATAACTATTGACTATTGCTAGTAGCATTTTCTTGGTCTTATCGCCACCGACTACAGCTCGCATTGGACCAACAGAAGGGTGACGGGATTCTTCATGCATGGTCAACACAAGCAGTCGTGCAGCTTGCGCAATCGCAGTCCTCATTACACTTTCTCGACTTCTGATCCAAGCCGCATCTACACCGAAGCGTGAAGATGACTCACTCGCATCAGCCTTCATCTGCTTTTGAGCATCCGTCTCCAGGCGCTTCTCTGAATCCTGCAACGGCGCCCGCTCTTCTGAATTACCGAGGTGCTTTTCTGCACTCGCGCTCGAACACGTCAGGCGAGGTTTCGAAAAGTACCGCTACGGCTCATCACGAGCTTCGGAAAGCCCTTGAGCTTCACAGGTAGGCCCCAGTCGTTACACTCTGCTGGCGAACGGTCCATGACGATCCCTGACGGTCCTCCTCTGACTCGATGAAGTAGACAGCGTGACCAACTCTAAAAAATCGCCAGAAACGGGCGAATATGATGACACCAACCTGAACAGTTTTCCTACGCAGAGACACAAGGCTGATTAAAGCAGCTCGTTTGACAAGACCGCCCACTGTGGCTTACTGGCTCAGAGCTGCGGGCCACGTGAGCCGCTCCGCCCACATCCTTGGCAATGCTCCCACGATTCCTGCGCAGGAGGCGAATCTCGCGATCGCTTCATCTCGCTCTGTGTGCCTCACGGACATCGATATCAACAAACTGTTGCTATCGATGTCCGTATTGTAAGTAGACATGCTGACTTTCGAACATGGGAATTGGAAACTGCGCGCAAGGCTTGAACCCTGTCGTTAGCGTGCTCGGCTCCAGCATTTCCTGCACAGTTCCGCATAGTGCCAACACGCTGTGAATGGAAGGAACGAGCCAGCGAATGAAAACGAGAGCGTGTGTCTTGCCTCAGCAGCCTCCAATCGAGGGTCATCGGTGATGGTAAAGCTGAGGACTTCGCTGCCGATGGAAAGGACAACCACCAATAGGTCCAAAGGATAGAACAGAACCTCCACAGGTCTCCACTGCAATCCTGCTTACATTAGGCAGCAAAAAGCGACTTCTTTGACCAAGACCTTGGCAAAGTTGCGCCCAAAGGCTACCATCTTCAGCGTGTTCTCCAACAGGAAAATGCCCAGGATCACAATGGATGTGTAGCCGAGAATGTGCTCTGCTTGCTCCAGATGCTCCGCCACAACGTGCTGTGGATGGTCCACGACACACCGCGAATCGACTGATGAAGTGTTTGAGAAAAAGAGCTGGAGACAGTGGGTCTTTGAGAGACTCTCCTTGGAAGAGGAAGCTTGCAAAACAAGCAGCAGCCACGCGCAAACCCCTGCTTTGGGATTTCCTGCCGGCCAGCGTCCAAGGCAAACACTTCCATCTGCATTTGCAGCGTTGCCATGACGAGCAGCGCATCGAGCACAATGAGGCCACCTGAGCTAAGATGATCCTCTGCTAGCTTTGCAGGTTTGAAGGGGCAGCTGCATCCTGAATGAGAGTAGAGCCGCTGATGCAGTAGTGCACGTGCCTCGTGTAGAGCTGTGTATGAGCTGGAACTCGCAGGCCGATTCAAAGAAGCAAAAAGCCGCTCCTCTTCAGCTTTGCTTCCAGTGCAAGAAGACCACGATTTTCCCCCGCCAGCCCAACTGCTTCCAGTCATGGTGGTGCTTGGGGAGAGGGTGTTGGCCCTCCGGCGAGGCCTTCGTCGAAAGCGAATGGAAACATGAGCCCGCAATCTTAACTTTCTGCTGGCTCCAGGCTTTGAACTCATGTCCGGCAAAGTGGGTCAAAACTATGCTGGGAGCTGAGCTGCCTGTCCGCTGGGCGCCTTCGCGGTAGCCTCCCCAACTGGAAACTGTCACTGAACATCAACGTTCACGGTACAGCTTGAATCGACTTTCTTGGGCGGACCTCTCAGCTACGTACAGTGGCATGCAGAAGAGCGGTCGGCCTCTCCAGCCAATTTGAGTGATATCAGCAGCTGCCTGAAAAAAATCTTCAAGTCTTGCTCACAGCTCGTGACATGCCCTGCTTTGCCCAACCGGGTTGCTGCTCTCTTGCGTTCGCATCCTGGAATCGGTGCTTCTCGGCGAGCTCAGGGTCGCGACCCATTCTCACCAGAATACTTCTCCATGTCAGCACCCACCAAGGTGCAGCCTAACTAATCTTCTGCTACATGCCTCTTGTGCCAAATGCCAGCAGAAGAAGCACCTTCGAAGTAAGTAGTTCACGCGCCATGTCGACTCTACGACCCAAAGCACGAAGCTCCCAGGTTCCCGGCACAAGCGGGCTCATGATGACCTTACTCGGACAGTCTCAATGGCGGCGACAGCAGAGAATGAACAAGAACAGCCCTAAACCTCTCCATGCTAAGCTTCTGCGCGCAACAGTGGCGCCTGGGCGCCGAACAAGCGCATCTTTGGACAGCAAGGAACGATCACACAAGAAGTTCTTGGACTTCAAGAAGTCGAGCGTCGCACCCAGCCTCGCCAAAAAGCAGGCCTAGCTGGGCTACGACACGCTGCTTCCCTGTTACAGCTAAAGACAAAACACGCCAGACCTGAGGCCGTCCGAGTGCTCCTTCTGAAATGGAAAACCTTTCAGGAGCTGCGCTGTGGCCATGCACGAGCCCGAACTTAATTGCAAACCAATCGCAGCGTGGCGGACGACACCAAAAGGACTCCAGCTCTCGGCAATGCGCTGCCTACCGTCACTTTTCACAGATTTGACCAAATCTACTGAAGAGCAAAGAGAGCTCCTGCTGGTTCATGGCGTGGGACAGCCCAGGACCCCCAAAATCAGGAGGTCGCACCTGAAGTTTCAGCCTTCTTTGGTTAGGCTTACTGAGAACCATGCCCGACTTGCCGGTGTCTGCAGCAACTGGGCTTCGTACTGCACATAAAGTGCCCTGGCCCCGGGCGGCCCGGATCATCTCTGCAAATAATACCTGTCACATGCTCTGCTCGATCAGTCCTCTTTGCACAAACTTCGCAAGCTGGCCTCACAGATCCACTTTGCATGAAGCAGGTTTGCCACCCGCAAGTTCACCTTAGTTGAAATCGTGCCGGGATTCAAGAACATAGAACAGCTCCTGCGATCAAACAGAACAAATACCACACAGAGGCAATGCACGTGGATGCACGTGGGTAGCTTGTTGCATCTCAGGAGCGGAGACACACTCGCCTTGCCTAAACAAATTCGCATGCCATGTCGCAACCCACAACTCTTGCTGCAAAGCCTTGTCCATGCGTAAACCTTGCGGCTGCGGCACACCGGAGTGACAGAGTGCCAATGGCCTGGGGGAATGTACCTTCGTACGATCTACAAGTGGTCTTGTGTCGTGACAGGTGCATTCTATGTTCATGGCAAAGGACAACACTGATCCTGGCCGGAGGTTATAGCACGATCTGTCCAAGGGTCCTGTCAGTGCGCGAGTGTTCTCACCGAATCACAAGCAAGAAGCACGACTCGCAAACCTGTGCCCGGGATGGGGATGCTCTGATCCATGAAGTTCCTGAGCGTGATGCTGTAGCTGGTCTCTGTCTGTGCCACATCAAAAAAATGCTGCGGCCGATAATCATCGGCATGTCTCGCATGCCTCTAGCAGCACCGAAAGTGTGAGGATTGCCTGGTCATCAAACGAATCACAGGCTCTTTGGAGCATGCTGCAAGCTCGCAGGTGCCTTCGGCGAAGTACCAGTCTTTTTCTCCCAAAATCTGTATCGTCAGATTGTGGTTCCTTTGCCAGAGGGTGTGTGCGCCACAGACCTAGCAAAGCCACTAAACACAGCTGCGCCGAACCGGACAAGGCCAAGCTGCGGGTCGAAATGCCACTGGGCCTTGGCTGACTGACACTCCAACTGCAGGAAACCTTTACATGAACGTCCTATATCACAATCACCACACGATCATGAGTTCTTGCTCTTCTTCGTCACTGCCGTCACCATCACCACCATCATCTTCTTCTGCTTCTTCACAAGCATCACCGGCGCTGCCACCTTCCCAAATCCTAGTTTCCCTCATCGCAACCGTAACTACCGTCACCATCGGCACAATGTCTTCTTCACCCTCGTCACCATCATCGCGGCAACTACTCGTCTCGGATGATAATAGTGGTGCTGAAGACGGCGCTGATGGTATTGCGGCGATGATGATCCCGTGATGGTGGGGTTGCTGGTAGTGGACGTGGTGTTGGTGCTGTTGTAGTGCTGGCGGTGACTGCAGCCGCTAGGACGATGATGATGATGATGATAGTTTGTGCTTTGTGCTTCTCCTTCTTCTTCTGAATGTCAATCCTGCAGTTACGTTTGCTAGCAGCAGTCAAAGTCAAGACACCGGCTCGCATCCGAGCCGCGAGAAGTACATGCCAACTTCAATGTCGTTGCCGAACCTGTGTGGCCGTCACTTCGAGTAAAGCACATTTGGTGACTAGTTCACAACTCTTCGTCTGATGGCAAGTGGCCCAGAGCATGCCTGGATAAAGGCACGCTTAATGTCAATGGCCCCTGGCCTGCCAAGGTTGCAGGCTCTGGCATTCAACGTATGGTCGGTCTGCTTAAGTCTCTGCCAGGTGGCGTGAAGCAGAACGGCAAGATCACACTCCTGCACGCCAGTGAGTTTTGTAAGTTCAGCCGAATTCGAATTCAGCTGGCCTTCGCTGCTCCAGATCTGCCTGGAACCCTTCCAACTCTGCTTCAGTGAACTGGACATTATCTTCCTGCATGCAAGTTGGATAGAGTCGGATAGAGCCCCTTGCGGCCCAAGCTTCTCGGAGACATCCCTCGCTTGGTCCTTCCTGCAGTCCGCAACCTTGGCGCACAGGCCCCGCCCAAAGGCTACTTGAGTTTGAAGAAAGCTTGCACCAAGTGGAAGCTACAACTCAACCGCTGACCTTACCTGCCTTGCCTCGCAGAGCTCTCACGCGCAAGCGCGATATCATGTTGCAAACGAGCTGCACATTCGGACAGGTTTCCGTCGTGAAAGCCCACGCTGAGGATTGTCAGGAGATCCTGAGACGAGCACATGACATTGAACATCATCACTTCGTCGGCACCGGGGTGCCTGGCCTCGCACAGAGAAGTCGAAAAAACTTTCCTTAGGAAAGCTGAACACGCGTTCATGGAGCTCAAAGCGTTGTGAGGCCCTTGCCAGCCAAGCCTCTGCCCCCAGAACTCCTCCAAGAACCGGGCCGTGGAAAGAGGCGGGATCAGATCAGAGAACTCCAGCCTCAGGCGCCGAAGTGCTCTCTAGGGGGTGGGAGCTGACAGAAGTGGCACTTGGACAATCGAAAACAATCCATCTGATATGCACAGCTTGGCTGCTCAAAGCCTTCCTCACTCGCAGCCGCCGCGCTGGCAGGCGCCATGGCTTCGCCCGTTATAGCGAAGTTGAAGTCTCACAAGCGGCACTCTTACATCCAGTACGACACATATGACGCATCCCTCTGCCAGCACAAGCCAGCTATCGGCCATCGCGAAGTCAGAGTCACAGGATGTGTACGAAGACAACCCGGAAGAGTGCCTAATAGGAGCCGCAGCAAGAGTCGGCATCAAAGCATTTGTTGCAAGTCCTAAATGCTGGCCGTGCTAAACCGTCCTTGGCTGGCTCTTCAACGCGACTGAAGAGTGCCTGCTGCTCAAATGCGCACACGCCGAACTGAACAAAGGGTGACGGTCAAGTGAATCGACGGCGTGTTGCATGCCTACGGACATGTTAAAGACAAACAAGCCTGGAGCAAAGCCACAGACTCAGAAGAGCTTGGATCCTGAGTTTGATGACTTGGTGCGTGGCGGCTCCCGCCGCTACCAGGTTACCGAGAACATGGTACGGTATTCAAAACAACCTTTCAACACGGCGGACGACTTGACAGAACAGAACGGGACCGATCAGCTCAGTCCCATGCTTCTAAAGCACTCAAAACACGCTGGACCTGGCAAGTTCAAGCATACTGATCAAAGCAGTCGCCTTGCTCGTACGGCGAAGGGCGCGCACTGCCCACATGGCGGCCCGAAAATCATCATTTGGGTAAGTCCGAGGCCTGTGGATCAAAGGCGCCTGAAGGTAGCAGGCCAGATCGGTTCAGCCTAAGTACATACCAAGCCAGTGCTTTTTTGTCAATGCAACTTCTTCAAACCTTGGGCTCTTGCAGGTGGTCTGCGGTGAACCGGGCCTTCGAAGTTGCTGAAGATGATGAAGCATGAAGTGCACTGCTGACTTCCTACTAAACCTGGGCACGCATGCCGCTATACTATCGTACCGAACATGCCGCCGCCCACCGTCCTCCCACCCTACATGCTGCTTCGTCTCCTGTCTGCCCATTTGCCGGGCTAACGTCATTGGCAATCGCACAGAATAGCGTGAGCAGCTGCTACTCTCCGTTGCAGGATATAGTGGCTATATTAAAACACCGGCGAGACAGCATCTATCTGGCCTCCGGGTCTTCCTGCAACAACGACGCCAAGATTTTTGCCGCCTCCGGTGGCGCCTGTCGCAGCGTCGGAATGTGGGATCTTCGACGCTGCTGCGGAGGTTTCTGAACTTTTGCTCTTCAAGCCTCGGGCAGTCGCTCCTGCACCTTCTGTAGGAACTCTTTGGGCATGTTCGCCAGGTCCTTGATAGCCTCTGCGGAGAGAGTGGGCAGCACCAGCTTGCTGAGCCTCAAGGCTCCGCAAGGCTCCGCAAGGCTCCGAGAGGCTCCGCAGCTCAGGCTTGCCATGTGCATGTACCATATACACGATAAGGCTGGTGCACGTCCACTCGTTCCATAGCCTTGGGACAGTCTTATCCAGGTCATGCGCTCTCGTAGAGACTGGGCCGAGGGGCAGTAGCAAAGGGAGGCCGCCACATTTCGAAGAATACAACGCCCATGGAGAACCTGGAAAATCAACATAAGAGGTGGGCTGCATGGTACATCCAGTGTGGGTAGCCTGCCGGGTGCACTCTTCACACTTCACGATGCATCTTGAGAATCCCATCGCTGAATCATGCAAGTCACTGTCGAGTTCGCAGCGAGCAGTCATGTTGGAACTCTTTTTGCCAGTTTTGCTGGCCGCACATGCCGGCTCTTCGCAGCTGGGACGCGCTACATAAGACGCTAAATGCTGCTTTATGGTTCCCGTATATCCGTATATCTTAACCGCAAGACAGATGTGCCCGCCGAGGCCTGCGAGCGAAAAGGAAACAGATGAACGGTCCAGAAGTAACGTGGTGCCTCGCATGTACAGTTAGGTTATTCTTTCTTATCGATGGTGATAAAGTTGTAAGATTGTAAGATAATCCGACTCACCGTCAGCTTCTTCCCTTCTTGGTCTTCTGGAGCTCTTGCCTTGGCTTCGCGCTCCCGTTCCGGCTTAAGCTTTGCCTGTTGGGGGCTCGATATTATTATTATTACTATCATTATTATTATTACTATTATCATAATAATAATGATAATGATGATGATTGTTATTATTAATGACAATATTATTGTTGTTTGTGCTTCTGCAGCTCAGCGGCGCCATCATCCTGCAGGCCTCACGCGTGGAACGGGAAAGTTGCATCTTCCGACTAGGACAGCATCGGGCCTTGGGACCTTCCTTGGCAGCATCATTGAACTTGCGGCAATCCTGTGGCTGGACGCAGCTTCGTAGTTTAAGTTCCGCTTCCAGAAGTCGAGTATGTTCTACATGCTGGAAGACTCAATCTTGTGAGGCGCGCTCTTCGTGGTGCGTTCAAGAGCCTTCGGCTTCAGGGCGTTTTCGTTTCTGGGGTTGACCGTTCTGACTTTTTTTTCCCACCCGCTTCGCTGAGTAGGGTATCGGGTTTCATCTCGATGGCATTGTTTTGGGAGTTGAAGGCTCGCTTTTGCTCCGAGCCAGGGCAGCACTAGGTCGGTTTGTACCGGGGCGCCGTGTGGACATCCGCGCAGCGCTTGCCCGACCACTTTGACGCTGGTTTCTTCAGGACTCGTTTGGACGCTCGCCGGCCGCACTGCCTTGCTGTGCGCCAGTTCCGAAGCATGCGCGCACTATACATGCTGGGAAACATACCGCAGACGACAAAGCATGTAAGCATTCTGCTCACATAGTTCATGTCCATAGCGTGCTGAGGGCAAGTGCAATGCAATCCATGTAAAAAAAGAGTTGATGCTGGTTGGGTTTCTTGGTTGGCTGGCTGGCTCATTGGGTTTAGTTGGTTCGAACGTTGCTTAGCTTGCCTGCTAACCACGTACTTACTTACTTCCTTACCGACTGACTGCCTGACTGAGTTTGGTTAGTTCATTGCCTGTTTGTCTGTGTCATAAGATCTCCCTGAACCGTTGGCCTTTTTTTTTACAGCAGGCCTCGTACACAGCAGCCCGGTCCCCAGCATCACTCGCTCACTGTAAGGCGAGCATCGACACTGAGATCTCTCTAGACACTATCTGGAAAGTCAGAAACCCTAAGCCCGACATCCTAAACCCTAAACCCTGACCCCTTAACCCTAAACCCTATAAACCCTAAACCCTAAGCCCTGAACCCTAAGCCCTAAACCCTGTAAACCCTAAACTCCAAACCCTCAGCCCGACATCCTAAACCCTAAACCCGTGTCTTCTCCTCCTCCGCCTCATCTCGCGACTGCCTTGAGGGGCCCCGGCAGGCGATGGTCCGCACATTCCCGGAATGGTTGATGGCCTCGGAGCAGGGAAGAAGAAATGATGACAGTAATAATTATAGTAATAATAATCATAATAATAGTAATAATAATCATAATACAGTGTTAATCCACGCATGAGAGACCGGGCTGCATTCGCTGAAAGTGTTGAAGCGATTTTGCCTACGGCCTTGTGCGGACTGCCACAAGAAATTGTTGTGCTAAATACTCATATCCATATACATATATGCGTCGAGCAGAGAGGCAAGCTTGCGTGAAGCAACTTGCAGCCCAATGGGGTTGCTTGTGGGATGCGCCTGCAGAAACACTTGTGTCGAGCGACACTTTGTCGCGCATGACAGAGGATGTGTGGCGGCTTGTGCATGGATGCTGCTTGGACCAGCAATGGAAGCATCCAAGGATCCGAGCCATGCAGAGAATGATTGCAGTTATGATTGGATTTCTCTTCCCAATTTCCTTGCTCACGCATCGCCACGATGATGAGATGGAGTTGTTTCTGGCTACTGTTTTGACGGCGCAAGGAATCCTTCAGTTGAGGGAAAGAAGACACACGAGATGGGCCAGAAAAATCATTTATATGACAGTGGGTCCTGTTCATACCATGCTTGCTGCCCAGGACCTGTCAAATGACATGGTTCAGCGAGGCATTGAGTATGTTCGACAAAGCCTGGAGAATACATGCAGCGGGGCGGAGGCGGTGATGTATGTTCTTTTTTCCACAGACACGACCTATGTGGGCAAGGCTTTGCTAGAACGAGCAAAAGGGAAGCTCGGCATAAAAAGTAGGATTATGGAGCATTTGTCTGCGATTTTTCGTCCATCGTCTGATGCATACCTTTCCATTAGAGCCAAGCGATTCAGACAGCTGCCTGCCGAGCACCTCGGATTCATTGTGGCGAAGCGGGGCGAGCATAGTTGGATTAAAGCTTCCGAGACAGTGACCATCAGAACACATCGCCCAAATGGCAATCAAGGGCAGTGTGAAAGAAGGCGGGCAAGACGCAAACGTGGCATGCGTCGACGCCCTCCTCCGCGAATGAGACACAGATCTGCGGGAAGTTTTTGGGATGTATCTGGAGTTTGCCAGAGCATGCTAAAGGAGAGAGCCGCGATGCAGAAATACCCTGCCTGCCAAAAACGGCCCTTGTGGACACAGCTGTCCTTTGCTACGGCCTACCGCTCCCGTCAGCAGCGATGGTTTGCAAAGACCGGCAGAGTTGGCCCTCTGACGCCCTATGCGCGAGGACATGGTGGACTGCTAGCATTGTGGGCTTGCACTCTGCATGCCACGATCCTGCTCAAAGCGCTGCTTTTCGGACGAAGTCCGGCCGAAGCATGTATTCACCTTGCCAACTTGGTCGCTCAAGTGCGTGGGTACGTGCGAAAAAGCCGAGGCTACCAGCACGAGGACAGACTTCTGAACCGGTTCCATCTGCCCGGGCGGCAAATTATATGGCTCAAAATCCCTGACGAGGCATCTTTCCGGATGGCACGCAGATGTGTCAGAGAGGCTGCGCAAGCTGCAGCCAACCGGCACGGGAAATGCATCTTTTCCTGGGTATGCAGCAAAGTCAGGTTTACACCAGCCGCCAGCAAACGATTCATAGACAGAAGAAACATGGTTCGGGCAGCAAGGTCTATCGATGTCATGGAAATTTGCAGCATGAACCCTCTGAGCCTTGAAGGTTTGCAAAGGGCCTTGAACGTGAAGTTGCTACATGGAAACTGGGGAATATGCGACAGGGCAAGTGTGCCAACTGCTTACAGCAATCTTTATAGAGACCTACGGCAGTGGTGCCACCAGAGACATATTCCAAAACCGAGTCGCTTGCGAAGTTTGCAAACACTGGGGGAGGCATGCCGCTTGAGTTCAGCATCCTGTGGCGGCGTTCCCGCCCCAGCTGAGGAGGAATCTTACATTTCTGCCATGCAATCTTCGGACTATGAGGTTCTCGTTCAGGAGGACAAAGACCGGAAGCGAACTTGGGGCATGTCACTCCAAGTCATGTCAACCCTGCTGGTGCTTTTGGTGCTGCGAGACCAATCCAGATGGCAGCCAACGGACATGACACCGGAACAACTCAGTGCTTTGGTTTTCGGAGTTGCCATTTTCGCTGTACCCAGTCTGTTCCGCAAAGGGCCGGTGAGCAAACATTCCATGGCCCCCTACATGTACCCCCTCATAAAGGGGAAATGTTTCTCCCCCGAGGGCGGCCGGACATGCAGCAAACCAAAGCACAGCTGCCTGCGAAAGGTGGTGAGCTTCTACCACGCACCCTGGAGGAAAGCATGGCGGCTTGCAGGACGAGCCATCCAGGTTCTGCTTCAACAGACGTCACCAGGCTTTGCTGTGTGGAACTTAAACGAAGCCACTACGACGTTCCAAACGCAATTTGCTTTGCTACGTAGCGGATCCGATCCTTGGATATGCGAGCAATGCCGGAGGCCAAAGTGGCGCACTACACTCTTGGTCGCTGATGCTGCCCAAATGTACGAGCAGATCGACACTGCGCAGGTCCTCAGCTCCTTCGACGAGGTGGCAGCGAAGATGCGAGATGCAACTGGAAGGTCGACAATCACTGTGCGCCGACGAGGGCGAGTTGCAGGTTGGCCTGGCGGGGATATGCACACCAGATCCCCAACATTTGCGGTTTTTTCGGTGTTCCAACTGCGCCGTATGCTCTGGGCCAGCTGCGCCTTGAGGTTTGCTACTCTCGGCAATCTGGTGGTAAAAGCTACAGGAGTCATGATCGGCGGCCTTTTATCGATGATGGCTGCCGTATGCCTCCTGTGCAGGCAGGAGCAAAAGATGAAAGACAACACTGAGCCTTTCCGTGACTTCATTCCGCCAGGATGGAGTCTCCCGCAGACTCTGCTCGCAATGCGTTACGTAGACGACTTGTTGATGTCTTCAGGCTGCCTGTGCCACGGATGCCTGGCTAGACTGGTCAAACAGCTCTACACAGTGTCATTTGAGGTCGCCGAAGAAGCATGTGAGCAGACCTGGACTGATATTGTCTTTCGCATCGATCCGATGGCAGGTACTGTCTCTTGGGCCCCCAAAAACCCAAACCGCCTCTGGATCCAAGGGGATGCTCCCAAGAACAGGGAAAGATACGTCCCGTATCTAGCCAGACTACAATGTCCTTTCGGTCTCCTTCGGGGCCAACTCTTGGGCAGGGCTGCCCGCTTGCAGCACATGTCGCTCTCATTGATCGCCCAAAAGGTAGTGATGCTCGAAGAGCTGCAGGAGTTAGTCCTAGAGGGTTATCCTGCGAGCTTACTGCGTGCTCTCTCACATGCGCTCCCGCTCAGTAACCCAGTCTTTTTTGCAGTGCGCAAAGCCAGTCGCCTGTTGTGCAAAGCTACGAAGCACGACCAGGGCTACGATTAAGAGTTGCAATACCTTGTAGTCGGTTTTTAGTTTCTTTTGTTTATACTGTTTTGGAACGTTAGTCAACATTGTAGCCTTGGTAAGCATGCTGTAGCGGGGCTAGGGGTGACAATCTCTTGTCATGCTTTGCCACACTAGTTTTGGCTCTTGTTGGTGCAACACTCTGCCTTAGCCCCAGCACTTCGCGCCGTCAAGCAGAAGGCATGAAGGCCAGTCAGAAATGCTGGACTCTGCTGTTCCTGTTGCTCATGGGTGGCTTTGTTTTCGCAGAAGCCGGCCGAGGGGGCCATCGCGGAGAGAGACCGGGTCCTAACCGTCAGGGTAGCCACCGTGATCGCTTTCCTACTCACAGGGACAGGGAATATGCTTACAACTCTCGCTCTCGCCGTGGTGATTCCCGGGGCCGTCGGCGCCGCAAAGCATCGAAATCTCGATCTAGCTCTGCTGGGAAACGAACTGCAAAAGACGAGAAGCCTTCTCCTGGGTACCTTGAGTACAAGCAGGCGAAGATTGAGGCCGCCTCCCAGCATGAACGCCGTCTGCAGGCACAGGCAATCGCAGCAGTGCTAGACGAGCGGGAGTTGCAGAGACAGGCCGCGGCTGCGGCATCTATGGCTGCGCATCCACAGATGCCACCGCTGCCAGGAAATCAAGCGCGCTCTCCAGGAGAGGCCCTGTGGAATCATGCTCCGCAAATGCCGCCTCCGCAGGAACAGATCCAGGCAGTTTCCGCTGGGGCTGTACGCCTGCTACAAGCAGAGCTTCACCACAAGGTAGACTTAGGCACAGATCCCTTGACTGTAGAGGCCCTTGCCGAGAAGCTCAGCCAGTGTAAAGGGCTTGGGAAACAAATGGATGCTGTTATTTCCCGCTACAGCAAAGACGGCAAGGCCCCTCCAGCCCGGGTTGCTGCAAAAGCTAAAGTGCTTGCAAGCTTGGCGAGTACTTTCAACTTCTGAGTCGTCACCTGCGAGGGATGCATCATAGGTCTTCTGATATTTCTATTTGGTTTTGGGTGTGGTTTCCTAGCTTTCGGTTGCCATAGCGTTCTTCCTTCCCCAATTCAGAAGTCTCTAGATGTGTTCCAAGCATGGTGGACTTTGCACATCTCACACAGGGATTGGTCCGCGTATTGGCAAGCCATGACAGGAGTGCCGATCCAAGCACCGGGGGCTGCCACAGTAGCCCTCTCTTTCGTAGGATCGTACATCGGATGGCGCACAGTGCCTGCTCTTACTGCGTTTGATAATACGTAGCGCTGTGCTTTTGTGTTTTCAATGATATTCCTACCGTTTTGTTAATAAGCACAAGTAGCCAGTTCAAATTCCGATGTCTTCCGCATGGCCTGTGGAGGCGGCTTGCGCAGACAAGGAAACATTCCGTACTTAGCATGTTTATTCGTGTTCTATCTTGGCTGACATCTGGGTGTCTTCAACATATGACCCCTGAAAAAGCAAGCCGCCGCAAACAAGCAAGTTGACTGTGCAAAGGCTCCGCCCCGGGGACACCTAATTTTCATGCCTTATCATTTCTTCGGTAAGAGAATAAGAGGCCACACAACGAGCTTCCAGACACAGATCTGCCGTTCTGCAATCATGAGGCGAGCATGCGCAAGCAAGCATTTCTGAGTGACTCTCTTCCTTTGAGTTTTAGCCATGCTTTGGGAGATGATGATAAAGAAATGCTCTTCTGCCCGACGCTTGCAGCTCACAGGGTTTAGGCCGGGCGCTCAAGCGGGCTTTCAAGCTCGCGCACATGCATGGATCCGTGAGCGGCTTGTGAAAAGGAAGCGGCGCTCTCTCTGACTTTCCTTCCTTCATTCGAGTACAGCATAATAATAATAGTCATGATAATGGCAATAATAATAATAGTAATCATAATAATACTAAATATTATCATAGTAGTCATAATAATCAGAACAATGAATTGGTAAATAATGAGAGAATCTAAAGCAGTTCGAAACGATGAAAATTACCGTATGACGTCATATTTGTAATGAATCGGCATGAAGCACGGAATCGACATGAAATACTGTACCAACCCTTGCGCTCAATGAAGGAAATACTCCTTGGTGAGCATTACCGGAGATCTATAGATAAGTTCAGGGGCATTGACCTCTCTGGGGAACCACGGGGTAAAGAGACAGAGCAGCTGTAGGCTCGACTGAGCCCTGGAGCATCGCTGCATGTCTGATCCGGCTTGGTTACATTTGTACCAAGCCCTTAAGACATGCAGTCCTGCGTCTTAGTCGTCTGTTTCTGAATTTTCGGGGCTGGAAACTTCTCGTGTAGACGAATGAATGTTCTGGGAAACTCAAATTATTCTGCGCGTCTCAAGAAGTTCGTGGTTCTCGGAGAACCGGACACAATCACACTCACACACACACACACACGGAGAGAAGCGCATGCACACACGAGCCATGGATGCCAGTCATATTATCATAACGGAACTCTTGGATCAGCGCATCTGCGCCCTCGCGTGCAACCAAAATCTCTGCCTGATATGTCTTCTCACCTCAGCTTCATGAGGACACAGCGCCGCAGAAAATCAGTGCCTGCTCTTGCGTACCCAATGTGCTCACCGGCAGCCAAGATGCCAGTGTTTAGGGGCGCACCATCCACTATCCGAGCCTTGCCAAGCTCTGGAGGATCCTCAAACATGTACAAAGTTTGCACGATCGGTGCCACCACCAATGAAGCCCCAAAACACATAATATGACCCCAAGGATCTGCGGGAGCAGGCTTGGCGTTTGCTTTCTTTGGAGGCGACCTGGAAGTTGGAAAGGGATGTGGGGAGCTCAGATTGGCTCAGAATCACTGCCTTCTGCGCGCCTCGGCGGCGACGCCCTTCTTTCTCGCCTCCTAGCACTCGCTCACAAGCAGCATTGCTGGGATTCCTTCCATGGTCGAAGGGTGCAGCGGACGGATTCCTTGCAATCTTCGTGGGCTGTTCGCCAACACCAACACCAACACCAACACCAACACCAACACCACCACGACCAACAACAACAACACCAACAGCAGCAGCAACAGCAACAGCAACAGAAACAGCAACAGCAACAGCAACAGCACCAGCAGCAGCAACAGCAACAGCAACAGCAGCAGCAGCAGCAGCAGCAGCAACAGCAACAGCAACAGCAACAACAACAACCACAACCGCAACAGCAACAGCAACAGTAGCAACAACAACAACAACAGCCAACAGCCACGGCCACAACTACCACAACCACAACCAAGATAACGGTGATGGTGACGATCATCATGGTGATGAAAACGGCGGCGATGATGATGATGACAGCAGTGACGACGGCAAGAACGACAAGGACAACAGCTGCTGATTCTCCTTCATTCTGCTTCTGCTTCTTGGTGTGCAGCTGCTGCAGCTGCGACTACACTACCACCACCACTGCCACTACCACTACTGCTGCTGCTACGACTACGACTACGACTACGACTACGACTTCGACTACGACTACGACTACGACTACGACTCCTCCTACTACTACTACTACTACTACTGCTACTGCTACTGCTACTGCTACTACTACTACTACTACTACTAGTACTACCACAACAACAACTACTACTACTACTTCTACTACTACTACTACTACTACTACTACTCTTACCACGACTACCACTACCACTACTACTTGTACAATTCTTACCACGACTACCACTACCACTCCCACTACTACTACTACTACTACTACTACTACTGCGACGACAACAACGACGACGACGACGACTACTACTACTCTTCTTACCACGACTACCACTACTACTACCACTACTACTACAACTACTACTACTCTTCTTACCACGACTACCACTACTACTACTACCACTACTACTACTACTACCACCACTACAACTACAACAACAACAACTACTACTACTACTTTTTGACTTTGAATCGCAGCATCGTCAGGCGACACTAAGCGTCCGAAAGACCAGTTCTGATGAACCGGCTGCTTCACACAGTTCAGTGATCGCAGCTGTGCACGTTCGGCACCGTCAGCTATGATTATCCATGCAAAAGTGTCCGTGGACACGCTCAAAGAGTAAAATGAATGAAAAGCTGCAAGCCCGGTACCGAAGTACCAAGCAGGCTGCAGGACTGCTCAAGGCCGATTGGCCCCCTCCGAATGTGAAAAGCTGTCTAATCTACGAAGACCGACAAGGTAGCCACCTGTGTTGATGAGCTCATAGGTGCTATCAGAAATCTGTAACCCACGATTATCATCAGAAAGATGAAAAACGGGCTTGTTGGTTGTCGGACCGGCACCGCTCAAAGCCGAACGATAATGTCCAGCTTTGATGGAATTGCCAATATGAAAAACGACCCCAACAACTGCATAGATCACGATTGTCATCGAGAGCCCCGCATTGCTGTCAAAGCTGGGAATTCTGACCAACTCACCTGCCTGGATTGTAACAGGTTGCTCATCCTTGACTGCACCATCTGGATTGGAAGCATTGATACGAAAACGCTTCAAAGCCAGCAGCAACATAATAGGAGCCTGTGCGAGGGCATGCGCATTCGCCTGAGTGTACCAGGAATAAATGCAATGCTGTAGCGTGGGCCCAGTTAAGTCAATGGCAATCGGAAAACACAAACCTGAGTCCAGGATGCGGGTGATTGGAGGAGGGCCTTCTTGGAAAAGCCGAGCCTCCCAATGTCCCCTATAAGCTTCTGGCCGCGCAAAATTGAGCAGAAAGGCCACGAATTCGCTTACATCCTGCTGCTGATGCACATTCCGCCATTGCGAAAGTGCCTGTCTCCAAGGTATCAATGCTAGGAGATGGGTCGGGCCTTGCGTACGAAGAATGCGTATTGCAGTGGAAAGCCTGCCATGGGAGAAGGTGTCAGCGAGGCCATGTCCCAGCCAATGTTGCAAGTGGCACCATGAATTAAAATAACAAACATTAGTGGTGTTGCGAAGAATAAATCCTGTAGGAGTGCCCAGCCTGATTGGAAGGATCAGCTGTCCGCCTTCTTCTCCTCTTCCACCTCCATATCCTTCTGATCTTTCCTTTGCGAGTCGGCCAGGACCGGTGCTGGGCTCGCAGGGGCTGCATTGGATTGCGGCTTCCGCTGCTGGCATTGGGGCGGATCCATCTGGGGGAATTTCTCCGCCAGAACCTTCGCCAAGGGTTGACGATCCATCTTTGTGGGCCTCAGGCGTAGTCCCAGCACTTTGCTGGCTGCACAGCCACACAGGTTCGTCAGCATTCCCCAGGCCTGGGAGGCTCGCGGATCTCGTAGTAGTATGGACAATAGAAAAGTCACCGTTTCTCCCTGGTAACTCTCTGCCATCTTTCGAGTTGAGTGGAACTTCAGCAGAGCATGGGGAGCGACGATGGTTTGCTGCAGGTGGTCGAGGGAGGTGATGATCTGGGAGTGAAGCATGGGCTGCACATCCTCTACCTTCTCCATGGCTTCCTTGTCCTGGTTCCACCTCATGTAGAACCAGTGGAGTTCTGTCATCCCGTCCGGAATCTCGGCATAGCCCTGAGCAATCACCTGATTCCGCAGTGCCTCGTCCGACTCCATGACCCGCATTCTCTCGTACCACATTTGCAGTACTGCTATGAACAGGGCCTGTCGCAGGGAGCAGTCGACCAGGTTCTTTTCTTTCTTCTCCTTCCAAACCATCGCTATCTTGTACATCTTTGGAAGGGCTGCTCCCGATCTGGTTTCGAAGGTGAGAATGAAATCTCTCTCCGTTCTCATCTGGGAGAGCTCGTCCTCGTGCCGAAGGCACAGGCGAGTGAGCATCTTGATGCTCTCTTCCATCTTCTCTTCGAACTGCTGGTCCCGGTTCTCCCTCCTTCCCCAATTCTGCCCGCCTTGATTGTTCCATCCTCGGCGGTTGCCGGCTCCTCCCTGCCCATGGTAAAACGGATTGCCCCAGCCTCCTTGACGATAGCCCCGTGGCTGATAATTGTCCTTTCGG